TTCTTGTTTATTTTCCCATTATTATTGTTATTATTATTATTATTTGGTGTCACGTTATTCTCCACATTCCAACATCGTAAGAAACCCTAACACTATTCCTACACACACACACACACACACACACACACACACACACACACACACACACACACACACAAATGAATTTCTTGTACATTGGACTTTTGAGCATTGCTACTAAGGTCCAATAAATTAGAATTTCTGACACTTGAATGATTTCATATTTCTTTCAGTTATCAGTTATCTCCTGTTAATTCCCCTCTGCAAGATGTCCACTGCCTTAACCGGGTATTGAACTCACACTCTTTCGGTCCTGTCACTGGATCTAATCAATGCCATGTGTCCTTGAAGACACCTGTGTATGAATTTCCGGGTATTATAAACCTAATGTCTTCACAACCATTTTTTACCAGTGCTCATATTGCAATTTTTGCTGTCATCATTATATGCTTTTACGAGAGATCATATTGTAATTTTTGTTGTTATCACTTTTCTCTGGCACTCCTTATTACTGGTTCCCACATTGTATTCATTTCTATGCTTGGTCGGCTTAAGAGATTTTTGTGGCCTAGCATATGGGCTGATTCCCTAAGTGTACGAATTTTCCAATGATGTTCCTTGTCTATGATCTCAACCTGATCCCACAGAGGGCTGTGATCTCCCTTTTCTCTCCATATGTGGTCAGCCATGCCTGATTTTTTCACTTCCAGCGTTACAGCTTTCTGGTGTTCTTGAAGCCTTACCTTAAGGGGGCGGCCTGTTTCCCCTTTATATTTCTTTCTGCAGCTGCACGGGATAGCGTACACACAGTCTTTAGTCATGTTCTCCTCTATGTGGGGTCTTACTCGGGAGAGATATCTGCGAAGTGTCGTCTTTTGAAGGTTGTCCTGATGTTATATGAACCGCAGATCCTTTGTATTTTCTCTGATAACCCCTTCACATAAGGCAGGGAGACTGTTTTCTGGGTGTTGTTGTCCTCTTCTTGTACCCGCCTATCCCAGTTTTTTGGGAATTACCAGGAGATAACTGATAACTGACATCCATTAAACATGGCACGTGGAAACAGAACAGTCTACCCCGGTGAGCGAAATAAAGGGTTCAGTTCGACATTCGAACTACCTGAAGAAGGCCAGAACGTACAACGGCCGAAACGTTGTAATAAATATGGCGACAAAGATGAGGACAATAGTTCGAATAATGTAAATAGTGTACATAATACTTCTTTCAGGACTTTCATATATCTGTGGTTTAATTAGTTTTTTTGAGTGTGGCTGTAATTAGACCATGAATGTGTTCTTTGTTGAAATCCGAGTCATTACGTAGGTTGTTTTTAATAATGAAATCCGTAATATGATTTTTCAGTAATCCGTTGGTAAATTTTTGAAAGAAGCAAAAAGAAATTACAGTTGCGTAATCAATGGTTTGAATTTGGATGAATTTGTAATTAAGTCTTCTGACAACTTTAGGCCATTTACTTTTAAAAAATAACGTATTTATTTTATTTTGATACAAAAAAAATAAAAGAAAACGGTTAAATTAATAACCTTCTCTTATTTAAAATACATAAATTAATCACAAACTAAATTAATTTAAATATTAATTTCATGAAAAGATCCAACATCCTTTACTGATTTTTCTTAAACATTAAATTACATCACTTAGCATATTCTTCATAATTTACCTAGACTTTTCAGTTAACCTGATGAATATTTAGGAGCATCTCTTGAATTTAAAAATTTTGAAAACAACATTTTTATTTTTGTTTATAAATACTTGTTGCAAAACCCTTATATTTGCCTTGATAAAGTCCTTCAAAGACAATTTTTCCTTTTGGTTTTAATCATATTGTCCTTTTATACATATATATTTTAGTTATAACTGAAATTACACACACACACACACACACACACACACACACACACACACATATATATATATATATATATATATATATATATATATAGAGAGAGAGAGAGAGAGAGAGAGAGAGTGAAACAGAGAGGGGGAGAAAGGGAGAGAGTTAGTGAAAGAAAGTTCATTCAGACAAATCTACAGAGAACAGAGGCACACAAAAAGATATATTTATATAAATAGAGAGAGATTCAGACAGATAGACAGATAGTGACAGGGGTTTAAGGGAACGATAGGGAAATAAAACAAGTCAGTAATTCAGATAGTGCAGTTTATCAATTAAATACGACATCCTGTCCAGAAATGTTCCTGTTCGGCCCATTATACAATTTGAATATCAAATAAGTTCACCGCAATCTAGTTATCAATTTTCAAGAACATATGGAATTTCAAGCAGTGCTGATACTCTAATTTGCCTATTCCGGTTTCTGAGAGAATGCCTACAAAGGTACGCAGCCTTTGTTGTCTGCAAAATAAAGTGTATTTTAAGTTTAACTTTGATTTTTCTTTTTTTTTTTTCAGTCTTTCGGCAACTTTCTTCTCATCCCCTACTCTCTTTGTTTTGTTTATATTATTTTTTTACGTTTCGTCCTCTTTCTTTCATCCTATTTCCCTTGCTATTTGCTGCTACTACTTAATTCTCGGGCTCATTCTTGGGCTTTTATTTTCTCTTTCATTCAACTTTCATTCCTCCTCCTTCTCTTCTCTTTCTTCCATTCGTAAATTCATATTTAAATTTACGTGCAGTTAACTATATCTCTCTTTTCTACACACACACAAACACACAGAGAGGCACAAACACACACATACATACATACATATATATATATATATATATATATATATATATATATATATATATATATGTGAGATTGATTCTCCTTTCCATGTTATCGTATGAGGCCATAATATTCCAGTTTTGTAAATGAACTGCAAAACTACTTACAAAATTGATTGGGTTGTAATGGTGACGGCTTGTATAGAACCTTGCATACTTCTCGAAGTAATTGTAACAGTGAAATAGTACACCACGTGTCATGAAGTATCCAAAAACCCTCCTCAGGTTTGCATTCAGAGTTTTCCTTCTACTAAACTGGCTGTCTCCCAACTCAGAGAAGACTAGTCAGCACTGAAATTTAACTAACAGATGGAATATTGCTCCATGACCTTCTCAACGACATCAGCGCAAAATGAATAAAACAGAATAAACGGCAATTTGAATTTGGATCGCTAATTGCACTCCCAAGACGCTAACTGTTGCATTCTCCATACATCCGCATATATAGAAAATCATTTCGTATGCATTTACACTATGTATGCTTGTATTCATGGTTGTTTAATGCTACAAAAAAGGTATTCATAGATATACTCATTGACTTACTTTTGTGTGTATGTTCTGATATACATATGTGTAAATATTTTAGTGCAAATGCATTTATAGATGATTGTACATTTTTACAGGCGTGTCTGTGCATCAGTTCGTGTGTGTGCGCGTGTGTGAGAAATTGCGTGATTCAAGGGATGAAATAAAAACTATGAGCGCTTATTGCATGCTAATTTTTGGTGATGGATGTTTGAATTCGATGGTAAAAGTGAAGCGTTGGTAAATAGCCCAGACCGTCCCCTCAACATCCGTGTAGTAGTTAGTGGGTGGGCAAAGTTATTTGTTGGAATTCCATCCGAAATGTGACCATATCATTTATGGTCAATGAAATCGGAATGGGGCTACTTGAAACAGTCTAGAATGTTTCCCCACTTTGCATCAATATGGACGCTTTGTGATAAGAAACGGAAAAGAGAATAAAGAAAGTACGCCGACGCAGATTATCGAAGGAAAAAATGACAGAAAATTTAGGAGAAAGAATAATAATATATGAGCAAGGAAACAAAATAATTAAATAATAATAATAATAATAATAATAATAATAATAATAATAAGAAGAAGAAGAAGAAGAAGAAGAAGAAAATAAAAGTTGTGTTTTGATGTTTTTTAGCCTAAACCAACAAGAAATTATTCTGAAATTCACATTTAACCATTTTTGCATGTTGGCTGATGGCTGGTGAGTTTGAATTGAATTTTGCCGATGAAACAAAATGAATAGCGAAACAAGTGACGAGAAAGAAAAAAGGAAAATTGAGAAAGAAAAGGCAAATGAAAAAGTTACAAATTAAATAGAGTTAAACAAAATTAATGGAATAAAGAAGGAAAGAGAGAATCAAATTAGGAAAAAAAATAATTACAAAAGAGAGATAAGCAAATGGACTTCGTGTATTAAGAAAATGGGAAAAAGAACATATATTTAGTAAAAATAAAGAGTGTGGATAAAAACTTAAGCAAAAGGAAGACGGAAATGAGAAGATGAAATACAAAATTCAGGGAAATAAAAGAGATAAGGTAAATATGACAGGATATATCCGTCAATTTATTCGCGGTTACTGAAGTTATACTAATTCAATAGTATTTTGACAGGAGTCATAACGATTTTTAAAATATTTTGGAAACTGACTATAAGAAAAATGTTGATAACTTCTTCAGAAATTGTTAAAAGCAATTATATTATATATACAAGCATTATATTTTTGAAAAGTTTGTGTGTATGCGTCTGTGTATATGTGTGTGTGTGTGTGGATAGATAGCTAAATAACTTTATCACACAGTATATTGATTAGTTGTTATTTATGACCATTATGATTTACTAATCTACCTACTTTCCCTCTCTCTTCCTCACTTTCATTCTCTTCCTATCTTCTTTATCTATCAACAATTTACATATCTGTCCTCGATAACCCTTTACATATTCCATACACAGACATTTGGAGTTGGTCTTTATTTTAGTTAATATTATTATCTCTCGCTAAATTGATACAATTATAAGTTTATCTCAGTGTATCACAATATATTCAACCTATCAATATTTATAAGTTTTTCACAGTGAATACTAGCCTATTTGAATATGCATGTATGCCACCTTTCTACAAATACATTTTTCTTTTGACGATTTTATTTTCCCCATTTACTCAAAAATAATTTTCTCCTTCATACCATTAATCAAATTATAAATGCCTCTTCATTTTAATTCAGGTTTAATCTATCTATCTATCTATCTATCTATCTATATATATATATATATATATATATATATATATATATATATATATATATATACTTTGTACTTTGTCTATCATCCCTGGGGATCAAAACTTGAAAGTATAAATACCCTCATATAAATCTCACCCGTTCGGTTCATATTACACACTTTCTACAACCTTACACTTTCTTCTATCACCAGCTTCACCAACACCCCCTTTATGGCCACTCACCTGACAAGCTAGTTCCACAACATTATAACACAATGGCTCCCCTGCTACACTTTATCTTTATATATGCCAGCACTGGATGCATAAGGAAATCCTGACATCCTGCCATTTACTCACCCATCACTATTATTATTATTATTATTGTTATTCAAATCACTCTCATCTAGTGTGCGATCGCCATTTTTAAAAAAGGGTTTCATTATGGAAATATCTAATAACACGTGCCAAGAGAATAAATGAGATATATGTTCGAAAATATTTTCTTTTTTATGCACTTTATCACTCTTTCATCCTAAGAATATTTTTTGTTTTGCTTTCTTGCTTTTTTATTCTTAAATGTTCTTTCTTTTATGCATTCGTTTTTTCTGATTTTAATATACTTCATTCTTTCTTTCATTTTACAATCTTTTTTTATTTATTAAATTTTATTATTTTTTTTTTCAGTTATCTCTTTTTGAAACTTCTTCCCTTTTACTTCTTTCAAATCTTTTTTCTTTATATTAATATTGATCGATTTAACCGTTTACACTTTTTCTTTTCTCATTTTTTGCTCTTTTTCTTCTCCTTTCCTTATCCTTCATTTCATCTATTCTTATTCCGTCTTTTCGCTTTCAGTTTTTCCCTTGCTTTCTTAAATTTTGATTTTTCTTTCTTTCTGATACTTTCTTCCTTTACGCTTTCTACAGATCTCACATTGCAAATCAATAAAAAGGAAGTAGGTTTTTATAAATGCCTTTTCATCTAGTCTTATTAAAACCAAGACAGTATATTTTCCCCTCTCGTGTTTCCATAATTCAGCATTATTTTAAAAAATCATCCCCATTATCTTTATTACTGTCGTTTCTTTAACATTAAATCTTTTCCAGTTTAGGTAAAAACGGATAGGGCTGACACAGATTGAACCTTTCAGATATCTGGAAATATTTACTCTTACTTCTCATGCCAAATGTATATTCCTGACCATTTATAATGAAAACAAAATTCTTTAAAATCCTTCTCTTTCAATTTCATCTCCCTTACTTTCTCTTTCTTTTTTCTTCTTTATTGGACGTACTCTCTTGTTGTCGAATATCTGTCGGGACATCTTTTCACATTAAATGTATTCCTACGGAACTCTCACCTGATAATTTATGTCCATATTTGATAAATTCATAACTATCTTATTTTTTATTTAGAAGGATTCCTAGCTGACTTTTTAAAATGGGAACTTAGAATATTAGCCCTCTACAATTTTCTATTTATTTCTAATAAACACAACGGTTGTCTGAATTTCCAATTCTAACAATTATCTCCATATAGATTATTTCTGTCCCTTTGTTTTGACTTGTAAGCCATTTTTATACGTTTTAGTTGTTGATTTCTCTGGCCTTCTTAATGTTTTCACATGTTAATCACTGTCATTATGCCACAATTACGATTCAATTACGTATATTTATTTTTTTATAATAACAAGTGAGTTTTCCATCATTTTTCAGGTGAATGTGCATTTGATATTTTTGTTTTTGGCTGCAAATTTTTCGAACTGAAGTCGACAAAAAATTGTTGCTTTTGTCAGGTCTATTAATGCGATATGCATATATATTGCAACGACCCAAAGTTAGGATCAAAATAAAAAAAAATATTGCGATATTGGTTCAAGTTATATTCATTAAATACAAATAAATCTATTCTAAAAACCATATTTTACTACTGTCAGTCCCCCTCCTAATTCGATTATATGTTATTTTTTCCATAACAATCTGTTCATTTATGTGCAATTTAATTCAAGATATCCAGATGCATTTTTTTCAAAATCTGTTTTGTGCCTGAAATGCATGGAATTTCTTTCTAATGCCTGGTATTGAAGTTAAAAGTAATTATTTTGAATTTCAGTCGTACTTTGATGGAAACTTCAAGAAAATTTGATGCTGGACGATTTTTGTGTTCTTACAGTTATTTATTACAAAACTTGACTCAATTTTGCCTTCTTAAAAACAATTTAACTTTAACGGTTGATTTAGATTACAAATATGAAGTCGTTTTCTGAAGCACAAGATTATCATACACGACCATTGATGACATGACATTGACGCCCGATGGATAAGTACTTGCTTTATTGTTTCTACTCTCTCATAAACGATCAATTAAAGCGCACTTTACATTTGAAATACATTTATTGAAACCATTTCTTTCATTTTATCACTTTGTTTTTTACATATATTCATTTATTCCCTATATTTATTTTTCTTGCATCTTTTTGTGGGGTTTAATTTAATTTAATGTTTGTCCTTCAGTTATGTGGTGATTCTTCTAAAATTATTTCTTTCATTCTTTCGGTACTTCTTACAATTTGTAAACCAAGGCTAGTTCGGGACAAGCTCAATCGCTATTTCTCTTTTTCTTTTTCTCACGCTTCACCTGCCATCGATTTACTATATCTGCCTCTATCCTGCTTGTTGTTTAAGGTAGTTGCGTATGTCCTCCTACTGTCGCTTGGAAGATAGAAAAAATAATTATATTACCTTTTTTCATTTTCAGTGGTTTTCCTCTAGGTTACGTTAAGCATCTTTCTCTCTCTCTCTCTCTCTCTCTCTATATATATATATATATATATATATATATATATATATATATATATATATATATAGGTGTGTGTTGTTTGTATATAGGTACTTCCAAAGATTCGATAAAAATTAGCATATATAATGAGAAAAGCCCACCTCTTAATAAAAGCCAAAATTGATCGTCGAAGTATTTATGTTATTATTAAGTGGAAAGTTCAAAGGATATTTTAATGTAACAAATCATTTTTATCCTTTTTAGAACCTTCAAAATTTTTGTTAAAGTCTTGTTATTTTGGTGTTAACATGGGAGCATAAATTTGTACTGGAAATTTGAGCATCTTTTTGTGATGAAAAATAAAATTTCGAAATTCTTGCAAAAATCAAATATTAGTCAGATTTTAATGAAACTTTTAGAACTTATCCATAAATGAATGAATTTATGTTTGGACAATTTTTTCTTAAATCTTGGTAAAATATGTTTTTGCATCTGTTCCACGCTTACTTAATAGCTTTAATAGTCGCAAAAAGTGTGGCATTCAGTAATGATCGACTTTACTATGCCATGCATGTCTTACATAAAAGACATTCTATTACATGTAAATATATGCGTACTCAAGTCAGTCCATTTGTGTATAGTTATTTAATTTTTCTTTGTATATCTGTCCAATTTATGAATGTATGTTTAAGCGCAATGACTTTACAAAGTATACACCAGACCAACTACCAGTGTATTAAGCTTGTGCTCAATTTTCAAATCGCATTGATCAGAAATTCAATCTACGTCGCCGTCACTATATTCCACATTTTAATATTAGCATCAATATCATTATCGATATAACCTTTCATGATGACAGCGATCATAATCATCATTACTACAAACAGAAAGCACAAAAATCATACCATCATCATCATCATCATCTTTTTCAAAGTAGAGTATGTAGCGACTGCCTATTTCGACTGCATATCTCGTTATGCAGACTGTGTGACAAGGCAGTGTGTGGCAAACGAGCAAAATGAAAACAAAGCAAAAGTTGTCGAAGACTCGGTAATGGACTAAGTAGTTGGTCTTCAAGTAGCGGGCTGGATCAGGTCCAGTCTGAGCCCCTGCAGTAATTAGCTTGTATATGGGGGATAATTCGAAAATTTCAGCCTTCCCCCCTATCATAGGTTGATTTATTGGCTTGGCTTGGATGGCGTCCAAAGCACCACTTTCAAATTCCTTGTATGTGTTTAAACTAATTCGTACGGCAATAAGTGTGCCCTGAGAGTGAGAGAGTGACCAGGGCCGGACCGGACCAAAGCTCGTCATCACTTTGCGTGGCTGGAGTTTTCGGGTGGGGAAGGGGATATTTCAGGGGAAGGTGGAGATAGCACAAATTCGGGGTTTTGATCAGGGAATGGGTCAGAGGATGTGAAATGTGGGTATGGCATGGCTAAGAAAGTATGATGTCTGAATTGGTGGGTGGATGAAGGAGGTTCAATGATTCGGGCGCTCTCCCAAAAACGTTAGGCACACGGCAGGACCAGACATGCGACATGGAGTCCCAATTTAATATCGAAAACCATATAATGTTCCCATCACTATCAGTGTCGCGGGGAAGAATAGATGAGCCAGGACAACGTAAATCGGCTGCTTGGGAAAAGTGACAAGTCAATGATGTGTGGTAGTTACAATGGATAAATAGAAAGAGTTAGTCGAAATTAGTGGTCAGTCAGCAGAGAGAGTGCAGTGTATTTTTCTTTAGGTAAATGATGAAAGAGACATAACGCATTGTTAAAATGTTTCTTCCATTGATAGACTATCAGACTAACTGATCATCCAGTTAGGATGCTAGTGCTTAGTAATGACACGACTAGGAGATTTAATTGATAAATATGTGTTGTATCAGAAAAAAATTCTTTAAATGATATCTGAATTCTGGTAGGGTCCCTGATCTTCCTTGAGTTTATGTTACTTTCACTAAGCTGTCACTGACTTCCACAAACATTTACAACATTTACCCTTAATTTAATGCAAACCAATCACATGTCTTTAATGACATGTGATGAAATGAGTATTTGAATTAACAGTATCTTAAACAATTGAAACAGCATGCATTCGTACCAGATTAAATGAGATTTCAAATTTGGTGACAAAGCAATTCGAAACCTACACCTATGTATGTTCGTGCAATCTTTCAACTCCCAGTCGTTGCTTATTTATCAACATGTTAGGTATTAGCTGTTCCCTTTTGCATATACTTTTAATCCATAGCGAATATTATTTGTTACACTTCTATATGAAAAATTGCGTCGAGTGAAGTTCGGGTGTTTTAGGTCTGATTTTAATCATACTACGAACTGAATAACTGCACAATTCTTCAAATATCTTTATAAAAATATAAAATCTGGATTCTGTTATATAGAGATTAAAGGTTTTAAATTTCTGAGAAGTATTTCCCTTCAAATTTATTTTTACTTTCGTTATGTTGAACCCTTGATTATCAGTTTTTTTTTTTGTTTTTTTTTTTTACAGAATCCGGTTCTATCAAACATCTTTTATGTGTCGTGTCCCTTCAGGATATAAACGATCATTGATTCCTATTTTTGTCGCTCTAAGCAATGTTTTTCCTTTACTACCCCCATTCCATGCTATGCTATAGATTTACACAAACTCCCTATATTCTTCTGCTCCTCTTGCCTATGTCTATTAAGTGTCAAATTCTCCAAACCCAATTTCCTCATTATGCGTCCCAGAAATCTCTAGACCTGAATGAAAGTGTCCTTTTCGTTTCCATTTTTCTTAAAACTTCATCGCTGCTCAAATTTTCCGTCTATGGTATTCCCAGAATTCTTCTGTAGAATAATAAGTATCATTAATTACGAATATATCAAGATTGTCGGAGCTATCAGAAGAAATCCTCGAGGTAGAATATGAGGAAAGCTCTAAAACAAAAAGTTTACTTTCATTTTTCTTCTTTTCCTTTATTCTTTTCATATCTAACAGCAGGTTCTCCGTGAGGACCATTTTGAGTGTAGCGAATGTGTTCTTTACTGGTTATAATATTCTTATGGCTCAGTGTCGGAGTATATAATGCAGCCTAAGTGAAATTAAGTCCATACCAAAAAGAAATTTCAGTTTAAATTTAGCTTGAACTCAATAACTGAACAATAGGTTTCGATGCAACGGCTGAAATTACGAATCTAAAATAAATAAGTCTGTAGGAAAAATGCAATTTCTACCAAAATAAAGACGCCTGACTTCTCCAAACACTAGGGTATACCAACCACTTCTGTTAAAGGAATTGTAATTGAAAGAATATTTGTACATTTTATTTGATAATTCGAGCAAACCTCAATTCAATATTTTTCGCATTTTCTAAAAAAGTGTGCAAGAATTTTTTCTTATAAAAACAGTTATAATTGTGATGGTAATCTAAGAAAAAGCAACTTTTCATTTTATTTTCTTGCAAGAATCATCATGTTGTTTATTTGCCATAAAATGAGAAAAAGAAAGTGAGCCTTGCATCAGTAGGAGAGATGTGCTGTGCACATAACACATTCCTCCTAGTGAAATTTTGTACCATTATTAAATATCTGTAAAACAAAAGACAGGAAGTTTAATTCATTTGAGGCGTGAGTGAGTAAATGGGGAGTAAAAAATGGAAAGAGGAGAAAGTTTGAACTAACAAAGATAGAAAGATAGATAGGTGGGAAGAGCGGTAGAGAGAGAGAGAGAAAGAGAGAGAAACACAATGAAACCAAAAGAAACTGTCTGACCAGCAAGCATATATAAAGATATAAATAAACATACTGGCAGATATATATATATATATATATATATATATATATATATATATATATATATATATATATATATATATATATATATATATATATATATATATATATATATATATATATATATATATATATATATATATATATATATATATATATATATATATATATATATATATACATATATATACATATATATATATATATATATATATATATATATATATATATATATATATATATATATATATATAATATGAGAGAAAAGGAAGGGGAGAGTATTCAAAATATATCTATGGTTCACTCCTGAAGACAGGATTGAGTTTGTATGGGTGTGTTTGACGATGGACAGGTTGGGTGGATAGAAGGGTTTATAGCTGTTATTTCAACAACAAAATGATCCCCAGTGATCTCGTGTAGCTTGCTAATAGATCATGCTGAATTCGATTACCGATTGGTTGAACTGATTTGCACAGTCATGTGTCTTTCCGAACCTCTGTTGGGGACTACGTGTCCAGATTTGAAGTAAAGATCGCCAACACACATTTTTCTCTTACATTTCTGTTCCTGTAATTATGCTACCACGTTTTCTTTCTTTCCGTCTTTATTTATTTTTTTCTGTATTTCTTTTTCCTCTTTTTCATTTATGTAAGTAATTTCTTTGTTTTTCTTTTACATTTTTCTAATATTCATTTTTCTCCTTTTCCTTTATTTTATTTTTTATACATTTATTTTCTATTTCTCCTTTGTTTTGTTCAATTCGATTACCCATTTCTTTTTGTCACTATTCTTTTCTTTTCATTTCTTTTGTTATCTTCTTTGCTCTTCCGTAATTTATTAATTTCGTTTTTCATTTCCGCTTTCATTCTTTCATTTATTCTTGATTCATTTTCTTTTATTCATTTTTCTTTGATTCATTTTCACTCGTAACATCTCTCCATTCAGCAAATATATTTAATTTTCTATTTACCGCTGCCCTAGGTCAGTGAGTTTAGGAAATAAAACATTGCAGAAATGAAGGAGAGCATAAACAAATCTAGTAGAAAAAAAAAATGAAAAGAAAGAGGCAAGGATATTTAGGAGGAAAAGAAGTATAGTAAGGAAGAATGAAAAAAGATAAACAAGCAAGAAATAGTCACATATAACTGGGTACATCCAAAGAAAAGACATACCTAAGTTTTAAAATGAATTTTTAAAAATGAATAATCTTTCTGGAGCTTTTATTTTAATTTTAATTTCAATCTAATAAATTAAATTTAATATTTCCTATAAGTAAAACGCGTTGCTTTTAATTTAAATTGTTTGAAATGAGTCTATTTTAATCTCTGATTTAGCCCTACTTACAATTCTCCCAGCACAACGTAATTTTCTTTATTAAAAAATCTTTCTAAAATAAAATATACTTGTCTGAAACTTGAGGAAGAATGTTTAATCAATCTGATTCGAGATAAATATAACTTACTTGCAGTATAAAATATCGCAGAAAAGCATTTTTAACACGAACGTGAGATTTTTGATGAGATGTTGACAGTTCCGCTGAAGACTGATGTTTGGGAAATTTAACTAATTTCTTCTGCTGTCGATATATCCGTAAAATTACTTGACGAATATAATGTGATCGCCTTTTAAGTATATTTTTTTAACTACCTAGCAATCTTAAAAGTGATTTAATGTTTTATCGGAATTTAGGTATTTTGGCTTTAAATTTACTATAGTTATCGCGCGGTGGAGTAATGGAGAGCGGCTTGGACTGAGGAATTACGTGCTAATATATTTGGGAAAGGTATGAATCCTTTTCTAGCCGCGCCCCAGCTATGGGTAAATAGCAGGAGAGTCCGGGTTCTATAGCTTTGGATGGCAACTGGCCTACCGCAGAAAGAAATGGCAATCTACTGCGGGAAAAAATCTGCCTCGTCAGTCATGTGTCGAAAGGTACATGATCACCTAAACGTGTATCACCCATGGCACTGAGAGTTACAGCTCCTATTTTCTGATAATGTCGTGTATGGACATCCGTATTTACAAAAATCGGCATGTTAATACATACACAAATAAAATCAATTTTTTAAAATATTTTGAGTCTATGAACTGAGGATAGGATGATATGGATGAACTGTAGAAAGCTTTTCCATTCATGATTAGTAAATATAGTTTTCACTTACTAAGAATATCACCTAACCCGTACAAATTATAGAATTTTAAAAGATTAAAACTTTATAATTTATTTTAATTAACATTTTTAAAAATGAAAACAATTCTTGTAAAAATTCATAATTTAGCGAAAAATATTTTCTTAAGATAATAGTGTCCATAATATATCTTATTCGTAAAAGGCATTAAAAGATTTCCTAATTTAATAATGTCTTAGTTTTATTGCATTCTTTAATTTATGCTTCAGAATAGATTTTCGGTATAACTAATATAAACATAAAATTGTACAAAAAATAATTTCTCGAAATTTCATAAAATTAAATAAGAGGGAGGGTAGCGGTTGTAAAAAAAATATTTTTACCAACATTTTCTAAAAAAGAAACGTTTATAAAATAATTTAATTCATTTGTTAATAAGTCCTGGGTGTTTCATTAAAATCCGACAGTTATTTGATTTTTGCAAGAAATTCCAAATCAAAGCCGCTAAAATTTCCTATACTAAATTTATGGTCACCCGCTGACGCAAGAAAAAAAAAGTTTAACAAAAAATTTGAAGATTCTCAAAAGGATTGAAAAATATAATTTAATAATAAAAAATCTTTTGGTCTTTCCTTTTCATAAAGATTTTGACGATAACACTTCTTTTTTATTAACTTTGTGGCACTTTTTCAACATGTATGTTCATTTTTTAGCGAATCTTTCAGGTACGTACATATAAAAAATAGAGAAACGAAAGAAAAACAAGATTAAATAAACGAAAAAAGGAAAAATGGTAAGAAAAGATGACATAAGAAATATAGGTAACTAAAAAATGAAAAGAGAGTGCAATAATTTCAATTCTTTTTATGTGCCTGACATTTTCTCTTTTATCTTATAATGTTTTACCAAAGTATAAAATTATGTTCATGAAAAAAGTAGGAAGTTTGAGTTTTATGCCGACCGCAACCCACCGTTATTAGAAAAGTCTTCATGGCAACTTTTTCTCTTGTCTTATGCATCAAATGTCATGATGCACTTAAAGGATCTTTTACGTTCGTACAAAACAGATGAAAAAAAAAAGAAGCATTTATTTTGTACAAATATTTGTTTTACAATTTCGGTTTTTATCAGTACACTTAATTCATTGGTTAATATCAAACACACAAGTAAAAATTACTAAAAAATTCTACAGTGAAAAATTCAATTCAAATGTACCTAATGCGTCAAGATACAAAACTATTGATCTATTTTTCTAAAGATGATAAGTGAAGAGAAACAGAGCAAAGATGATCAAATCATAATAAAAAGTGCTATTGAAAAACATTGAAAAGGAAAGTAGAATGGCTAAGTTTGTGGCGTGGAAATTGGAGAGGGAACAGAGTTGATTATAAAGTCACTGAGGAAATAATGACCATCTCTTAATCCTTTCGCAAGCCAATTCTTTAATGTTCGATTTTAAATGGATGCTCCCAATTCGTGACCTTGCAAAACTCATGAACATTAATGAACAGAGAAGAAGAAAAGAAACAAAAAAAAAAAAAAAAGAAAAAAGAGCGAGTAAGGAGAGAGATAAAAATGAATAATATATAATCTATTTCGCATCATGTCTTCTCTACAGAAAATTGTTTTCATCTGTTCAAGACAGGTCAATGTTATAGGTGATCAAATGATGGTACCGTACGTTATCGAGTCACGTGGTTTAACTGTACGCTCTTGATAGAAAATATTTGCAGAAAAGTATATATAATTATAAATATTTTATGTATCAATTATGAATATTAAACAATAGATAATTATATTTATTTATATTCAGAAGAATTTTTCTTTAAATAGTAAGCCGTGTTGTTGAATCCGCTTGAAATTCAATTTGTTCCGAAATTAATTTCAAGCAGATAACTCTGTATTTCAGCTATATTCATGCAGAAATGTTTTTGCACTTAAGCTACATTCTTGCATTTCTAGTAGCATGTAGTCAATAAATGTTTTTCTTGAAGTTTACTTTCGTCACAGCCGTTATTTTTATATTAGTTACAGCTACAAATAACAAATATTTAGTGGGAAGTAACTTGCTTGTCTTTTCAGTAGAATCAATCGGAATTTTTATTCAACACAGTAGAATTAAATTCTAGAACAATGAACTGGGAACCTACTGACCTCCATTGATGCCTACATCGAAGTGCTTAAGTCAATAAACTTTATGAAAGGAGACTAATAGAATTTAGTACTAAAACAATATCAATTTAACTATCAAAGGAACGAAAAACTACACATAGCAGAATAAAAATAAAATAGTAATGAAGGCGGAAACTGTCGAAAAACAATGTTAAATTTTATATCGGAAAACTAACAAAAATAGATGGAAAATATATTAATAAAAATATAGATAAAAGAAGATAGACAAAAATAGAGACAAAAGAAGTAAAAATAATTGCGGACTTAAATGACACATACATGGTTGTAAAATGGACACTTGAAAAAGGAAGCTGAAGCGAATAAATGCATCATAAGGAATTGAATCAAAGACAAAATAGATGCAATAACAAATATCTTTTCTCCCGATCATATTATAAATGAATGTAGCAAGTCAGAAGATACCACTGGGAAGGAACTGTGATTTATTGCTAGCTGTACCAATTAGGGCGATTTGACAATGTAGCAAGTTAAGAGAAGTACAAAAACTGGCTGTTCTAGAATATAAACAAAAAAGAAATCTGTGCGAATTTTAAATCTAAACAGACCATCCAAACCAGCTCAGGACGAAAGAGTCAAAATATGTATAAATATCGAGATTTATGAAATAATTCCGCAACATTATTTGGATAGTTTCAAATAGATTTGAAACAAGATTAGAAGTTAAAAAAAAAAGAAATAATCGAAACCCTGATTATTGTGGCAGCGAAAAGGAATAACAAAAATACTATGATAAGAAAACTTATTGCGAAGAATTGTTAGTAAAAATATTGATATTGCTCATGCAGAGGAATAATGGTAAAGAATCGGGATACCACAATAAAGAGGATTTGATATTGCATTCATGAACGTAGAAATTGAAAACAAGAACATAAGCAAAATAAGTAATAAAAAGGTAGTATAAACAACAGCCACAAGTGAAGAAAATATTGGTAAGAAGATTGACAAGAAATAAATTGCTACTACTACTACTACTACTACTACTACTACTACTCTACTACTACTACTACTAATAATAATAATAATAGTACTACTAAAAAACTGAAAAAGAAAAATTGATAAATTTCCTCCACTACGCCCGATTTGTAGTGGATATGAATGTTGTACTGAAAAAATCTGTTGAAAAAAAAAATCTCTGAGTGGCTACATGGATTTTGTTTTATCTCATACAGCAAAATGGCCTTTGCTCGGAGCTAAAAGATTAATGGAAGCATGCTAATAATTTTATCCGGCATTATATTAAGCGCGGATATCAAGAATCACGACTGAAACAAATTGCAAATGAAATAGATAAAAATGAAGATTACTATAATTTTAAATTCTGACAGAATCCCATTAGTTATAAATTGGCCCCGAAATTTTGCTGCATTTCGAAAATATTACACGTCAGCTATGAGTACAATGCGCAAAAATATTCGTGTTTTAAAGAGATTTTTTCCAACACGCCTATAGTTTTTTTTCAAAATAAATAAAAACATCAGAAAAATTTTAACAAATGTAAGCGTCCACACTCAAAACAACAATGGAGTTTCGGATCGTCGTACTCCCGAAAACATTCATCGAAGTGGAAAACTGTGCGTAGTGTAACAACATAAGTCAAGTTAATTCTAT